CTTAGTTTTTTTTTTTTTGTTTTTTTTTTTTTTTTTTTAACTTTTTAGGTTCCGAAGCACGAACGCGTCAGAATAAAAAGAGTCCGGGATCTGTGCGAGTGTGTTACATGTGGGATTGGCGCGAGGGAATGTTACTTGAGAAATAAATAGCAAGCCTTATTAAAAAAAGCCGAGTGCTTTATGACAAACGAGCGGCGTATGAAATTGCATTTCCAGAGATATTTTGCGCTCTCTGATTGAGTTTTCTGTATAGCTGCTAGTGGTTATTCTTATTTACGATTTCTCCCTTGGAAAAAAGGAAATGGGATATTTCAGACATATTTTGCACGATTAGTTTTGACAAAAAGCCGAGTGTGAGAAGTCATTATATCGATCATCACTAATGCCAAATATTTTTTATAAAATACATTCTTTCATAAGATTATAATATTTAACCGCCGCATTCCGAAAATATTTATGAAAGGCGAATCTAAGAATAAAAAAAAAACGACGAAATTGTACGTTACTCTTCCTTTGATAAATAACGCGTCTCGTATCTGCGAAACGTATTGTAGCTTTGGAAATGTTTTAATTAAGAATGTTAAAATCATATATTGCGGGAATGTTTTTACCAGTCGAATTTAGAAGATATTTTATACAATTATGTATTTAACGTGTCATATTTTTATGACGCGCGTTACGCTTAAATCATTTGATTAAGACATTTTTACAATGAATTCTAAAAACTGAGTGAATCTGAAGTTTTCTAAGCCGTGGGACAATCTGCGCAAAACGGCAAGTTATTGTTCCGAAACACGTTCGATAATTTTAAGAATTAAAAATCGTGATTTTGTGCTGTCGCACGAAGTGATGTAATCGATTTATGCCAGAACGAATCTGCTAAGCCAATCGTGTATACAATTAGAAACCATTGTCGAAAATGAAATTGCGTAGTTGCTGCAAAAAAAGAGGTGTGCGGCGGGAAATCAGTTTTCCAAAGCATTAATAACAATTTTCTGTACTGTTGGAAATATAGTTTCTCGTCTGGAGGCTGCAACCATTCCGTTTAGCGCAATAGAGAGAAAGGTAGAGAGGAAGAAAGGGAGAGAAAGTTGAATATGTTGTGCATCTTATTAATGCGAAACCGCATCGTTGGAGAACAGGACCTACAATTTCGCGAACGTGATACATTATAATTGTGTAAAATTGTAAAATTTATCGAGGGGCCCGGGCGAAAGCGACGCGCGCTTTTTTCCCCGCTGCGAGTCTCTTGGTCCCGACCAAGTTTCGTCGATCGAACACACGAAGGGTGAAAAGGGGAACACATTCTTCGTCCGCTCCCCCTCAAGCTTGATATATAGATTGTATTTTTGGCTTATTACTGTAAGACTGACTATGTTGCTATATTAAAGATTGCTTCGAAAACAGGTAGCTGGAACTTGATTGCATCTCCTCTTCTTTTTGTATCGTTCCTCGGTATCTTTTTAAATATTAGCGTCGATTCTATCCCGAAACGCGTTACAATCACACCCCTTTCAATCATTTTTTTCAAAAGACCGAATCATTTGGGAAAAACAAATGATCCAAATCTCTTTGGAATCAAAACTGATTACGTCAATTGCTCTTAAATAATCCACATTGTCATCCCTAACGTTCTTAAATAAAATTTTTAAAAACTGGGAGGAATAAAAGCACATTAAAGAAGCAGATACGAAATAATATATATTTTTTATTGTTTATTCGTATAAAGGTTATAAAACTTAAAAATATATATATAATCAACGTGTGTTAATTTCGTTAATATTTAAAAAAGCGTCTGTCGCGCAATAAATCATGCAGGCGAAGGTTTTCTTCGCAATTTGAATGAATTGTTATTTAAATATTTTGTATAAAAACATATGTAAACTTTGTTTTTTTTACTTATCTTGTGAAGTAGACTTATCTTCATGGACGGTATCTCGAGGCGTTACGCGCACACTGATGTGTTTTAAAGGTCCGTTAATTAATAGTGCCTGTATTATCGCGTGCAATATCGCATGTAATAAATAGTCCGTACAGATAGATAAAAGCTTATTGTGGGAATTGTGATAAATGATATTTCAAGTCCAAGGCAGATCCTTAAAGCATCAATGTGGCGCGTAACTAATTATGCTAACTAAAATCTAAACTACATATATCTTATAATATACATATTTATTATGTGCTATGTTATTAAAATAGATCTTTGATGTTTGTCTTGAAAACAAATATTTATACACGTAATGTAATTATATAACTCTTGAGGCACTAATTATCGAGAGGGACGGCATAAAAATCACTTCATCCACGCAAATATATATATGTTTATATATATATATATATAATGTGTATATATATATATATATATA